AAAATAAAATATAAAAAAAAAAAAAGAAAAAGAAAATGCTATAGAGAGAGAAAATATTTTTTAGTTACTCTTGAAAAACCATTAATCAAGGGCCAGCCAAATAGCTCAGCAGATTAAAGCACCTACAAGCAGGCACAGGGGCCGGGATTCAATCCCTGGGCCTGCTGTGCCACCCCGCCCCTGGGGCACACTGAGAGGGCAATTGAGACTGGGCATGGTGGCGCATGCCTGTAATCCCAGCACTTGGGAGGCTGTAAACAGGAGAATCACTACGAGTCCGATCCAGTAGTGAGACCCTGAACTCCCTGTAGACCCTTCCCTAAAAATACAAAAAAAAAAAAAAAGCTATTAATCAATCAATGAACCTAGTAATGACACAAATAACAGAATTCTCCCCACCACCCTAAATCACACCAGAAATAGAAAGAAATTTCAATTTAGTCCCCCAAAAATCTATGGAAATCACCTAAACTTTAGGCTTCTCTTACATGACATAACTGTCCTACAATCATTTTATACATTTCACGAAGCAAAGCCAGATCCAGCAGTAACCTTGACTCTGAAATACAAACAAGCACACCAATCTTAATACAAGCTTCAAGTGATAACTAGAACAAAAAAACTCAAAAAAGCAGGATTCAGACTTCATGGGTATAGAAATCTGACACAATGTGAACAAATTTCCCGCATCCCTTTTGCTGTTTCTGCCACTGGGATAACTCTGCCTCTTTCAGTCCAGGAAGCACAACTTCCATTTTGTAAAAGGTGTTAAAATTTAACAAAAGACAATATCAACATCAACCACTGATTGAGAAGTTACTGCGAGCCAGGTCCTAACACTTGTTCCTAATACTTGCATGTGTGAACTAAACTAGGCTCATAACAAACCTATGAAAAAGCATTACTGTTGCCTGAGATAAACAAGAAAATGAAGCAAAAATAAGTTAGAAAAATGGCAAACCTGGGATTCAGGCCCAGGCAATCTTGCTTCAGACTGTCTTAAACTACTATAAATGAAAAGATAATTAAATATCTTACTTTGGCACAGGGGCTGTCAGTTATTTGGGTCCCACAATAACCCTGAATTAAGGGTTGATTATCTCTTTTAACAGATGAGGAAAACCAAAGATTTCATCCAGGTGACTTTCCAAGGCCACACATCTAATGAATTCTAAGCCACACACCTTTTCTCTTTCCCTTAACCCTGGCTGAAGGCTCTGGATTCTCAGGAAGCAGTGTGGACAGCACAGCATGCAAAAGTGCTAGGGTTTGGGCACTACCACAATGAGTGAGCTCCAGCTCTTCAGCTAACTGTGAAGGCAACCACTAACTTATTCTGGCTCTCTTATTAATTGTTTGAAAAATGGGAATAGTGATATCTATCTATCAGCACTTTCAGAAAGAAAATACCCACTCAGTAAATGCTTGGTGCTAACCACTGGGTTTAGGTGCATGTCACCAGGCAGCAATGCCAAACTCTCAGCTTGCCAGCTACCACCACTGTGAGGTCATGAAAGCAGAGTCAGAAGCAGAGAGCTGAGGAGGGATTCTCTGGGGTGTGGATATTCAAGGGACTGGAAAAGGTGAAAACCTCACAGGCTTTCCTCTTAAGTTCTTAGGAGAATGCTTTATCGCAAACAGGTCTATGAGGTAAGGAAGGCACATAGTACATTTAGCAAACAGGATGGATGGACAGAGGGCAGATAGACACAGTGAATATAAAGAGCTCTGTCAAGACACCAGTTCCGAATGCAAGGAAAAAGCTTGTCAACTGCTGAAGTCCTAACCCTACTAAGAGCAAAGATCAGGCCTGGAACCTGAATCCTGGGTTCTATTTAGACTTCCGCCACCATGGCAAATTTCCTAGAGTGATATGGAGATACCATGCAAAAATTTCCCTTCTGATAGTTCAAATGACCACCCAAATGAGGCTCCTGCCCTGAGCCTACAGTGGACCCCTGTGCTCACAAGGGCAAGTGTGAGCCAGAAACAAGCAGTCTGAAATGGATGACATCCAGCCACATTTCCTGGGGCCCAACTAGACTGGTTCTTCCAAGGTGGGAAAGTAAGGGCTCATCAGAGACACAAAGTACCCTTCTGTCTCTCCCTACAAAAGCAGTGAGGCCAGGTGCGGCGGCGGCACAACTCTATAATCCAGCACTTGGGAGGCTGCAAATTCAAGCTCAGCCTGGGCTACATAGTGAGTTTGGGACCAGCTTGAACCGCACGGACAACATCCTGTCTCAATACTCAAAACAAACTCCCTTAAAGCAGTGAGTGAGAACTGAAAGAGCCAAGAGAACTGTCCTTCACCCACATGTCCTACTCACCTTCTCTATAAAACGGTACTTTATTTACAAACAAAACTAAAATATACTAAAAAAAAAAAACAAAAACAAAAAAAAAACCAAAAAAAACAGGTTTGTACCTATGTTGTTTATTTATTATTTCTTGCCTATATCTTGTAATATGAGAAACTACTTTGGCAGTAACAATACACAATGTACTAACCATTGTTACTCCTAAAATCTTGTTTTGAGATTTTGTACCATTGTTTTTATTTTTTTTTTCTTTAAAATAAAAATAACTGATGTCAAAAAAATAAAAAAATAAAAAACCTAAAATATACTAAAAGATCCAAAGAACTGGAGTGACCCAAGCTTTTGCAGGTTGCCAACATACAGGAATAGGATTTGTCCTTGTCAATTAATGCCTCAGATGGGGCTTGCAGAATAAAGAAATCTGTCCACCAAGGTGAGCAAGCTGTGATACTGTCTGGAAATGAAGACTACATATGAAGTGTGCCCCCTCCATCCCTGCATAACTACATGTAAAGGAAAGATATCTTCTTCCAAGAACAGTCAAGGTTTAGTTCTGAGCATCTGGCCTGGCAGTAACGTCTGCAAGAATATGCAGAATAAAGGAGACTGCACTTATCTCCTCAGTCCATAGGAAATGGACTTTAATGTTTTCTCCAATAAAACTTAATACTAGCTTCTCTACCATCTGTTTCTTCATGAACAATGGTTTAATGTCTAGCTTTCTCTCGGTCTTACTTGTCAAATATAACACACTTTTGGTGAACAAATAGTAAGTTAACATTTTTTCCCTTAGTGATTTCTATTTAAAGTTTCACAAATCATTTTTTTCTTGCATCTATGTGAAACTTAACTCATTTATTTGGAACATCCCAAATTTGGCTATTTATCCTTTCATTTATTCAAAACTTTTCTCTCCTAGCTGAGATATGATTCTCTTTTAAAGTGACTTGTTTAGGAACAGTTTTCACCAAAATACCAAGTCTATTCAGCCTCCCCGATGTCCTCCCCAGGTCAATACTTGGGCTCCCCAGGTTCTCACAGCCGGCACCTCACAGCAAGGATGGGGTGCTCAGTCCCAGGGACATAAGTGCCCAAGGGTCACGTGGCTCAGCATGACCAAACACCCAAGGACCCAAGACGATAGGAAAAGTTTCACTACTGAAAAAGATATATTTTTATTCAAAAGAAAAGATGTTTACTTAATGTAATGACTTTTCAATATGAACTAAATCAATAAAACATCTAAGCTGTTATCCTGAACTGTTCCCCTCCTTACTTGGCAATCCTAACTGAGCAAGAACAACTAAGATTTTTTTTATATGTACATATAAAGGTTTATCCTGTTCAGTTTACTTGTGTACGCAGAAGTTTAATGCAGTATCTTATTATAGTAAAAAGATATTTACATTATTGAGCCATTCAGTAGACTTGCAATACTTGTTGTAGAAATGCATACCCAAAACATGCATAAATTAAATTCTGATTAAAAATCAGAGTACATTTCTAGAACTTGAAATAGCTATGAATAGATAATACACCAACATTTCTGACTTTTTATCTCATTTGTTAGCAGAACAAACTCTTCACTATAAGTTTCCTGCCAGGTATAATTGTTTAAAAACATAAATACAAGAAATGTGTGTTTGCTTCTTTAAAAAAAAAATAATGGCAAGTTTTTTGTTTTTTGGGTTTTTTTTTTTTTTAATTGTTTAGTACAAGGTCTACTATGGGTCTCACTACGTAGGTTGGACTCTAGTGATTCTCCTGTTCTCAGCCTCCCAAATGCTGGGATTACAGGAGAGCATCACCACGCCCAGTCTTAATCACAGGCTCGGTGTGCCCTGGGGGCAGGGCCAGCACAGAAACGTTTTTGGTTTTTTTTCCAGAACCGGGGATTGAACTCAGACCCTTACGTTTGTCAGGAAAGCACTTATTCCTCTGAGCCATCTCCCCAGCCCTAGGGTTTTTTTTTTTTTTTTTTTTTTTTTTTAACAAAAATATTAAAATCTAAATAAATGTTTTAGGGGGCGGCGAGATAGCTCAGTGGTCTAAAGCACCTGCTTAGGCAGGTACAGGGGACCACAGTTCAATCCCGGGCACCACATGCCACATCAGCCCCACCCTAAGGGCAGGCTGAGCTGGCCTAAATAAATAATGTTTTCCAAATTTATGTTTATTTGTTATCATTAAATTTTGACTCCACTATTCACACTTCTATCATTTAATCTACTTCAATTACATACACAAAATCTTGTCTCAAAAAATTTAAACTATAAATCTTTAAACTATAAAACTATATAAAAAAAGAATACAAATAATACAAGTAAGAACGAAAGCAATACAGGATACAATTTCTACACAAGGGTTATGATTTGAATTCAAGTTCACTTCATCTTATTTCATTATTTCAAGAGAACAATTTTTTTTAACTGACCATTTTCAAATAAGTCAGATAGTGAACAAATAATCTTTTTTCCCACATTAGACTACTGTAAACATTGCCAAACTTTTTTAGAAGGTCTAGCCTAGCACTTAACAAAAAATATCCAAAAATATTGAGTTTAAAGGGTAACTTGAGTCCACCTAGATGAGGGCAAAGGCCCTGGACTGTCCATTCAGTTTGCTGTTTTGATAATCTAACTAAACACTTTACTTATGTCCATGAGATGGTTTGAGACAGGCTCCTGCTATGTAGTTCAGGGTGAGCTTGAACTCCTAGCGATCCTTCTGCCTCAGCCTCCCCAATGCTGAGACAACAGGCATGCACTACCAAGCCTGGCTCTAAACATGTTACCTGTTTTCCTGTTCTTTTTGTTTGGGTTTGTTTTGTTTTTTGAGACAGGCTTCTGCTATATAGTGCAGGCTAGCCTTGAGCTCCATGATCCTTCTGCTCAGCTCCCAACTGCCAGGCTTGTAGGCATGTGCCACCATGCCCACCTTTTAAATGTGGTACTCTTAAACAATGCTTAGGCAGGTGTTCCACTGCCTCTGTATCTTTATAAATCATATTTTAAAAGAACATGTGTGGGGCTGGTGAGATGGCTCAGTGGTCTAAAGCACCTACTTAGAACAAGCTTAGCAAAGCACAGGGACCACGGTTCAATCCCCCAGCACCACATGCCAGCCAGCCCTGCCCCCTGGTGGGCTGAGCTGGCCACACACACACACACACACACACATAAATAAATAAATAAATTTAAAAAAAAGAGCATGTGTATGTAATATGTATGTTACTTTTCAGTGAGCTTGTACCATAGGCTTGTTTCACTTCATAACATTTTACATGGCTCATTCTGTCACGTTAGTATATACTGCAAGTTACACTCACTCCTTCCTAAACAATGTCACAAAGATTTAATAATTTAAGTTGATAGACAAATTTAAAACATCTTGCCAGCACCTAATATCTTACTTCATTTTCTTCAACAGATCACTCTCTGAAATGTTTGCTTGAGAGAAAATTATTTGAGTACAAATTTTTATCTTGCTATTTAAGACATACACAATCTCCTTTCCTTTCCCTCTAAATAATACTGGATTCTGACACTTCTTATCTTTCGTACACTTATTGTTGTTTTTCCTCTGCTTGACATGTTAAATTCATTCCTTCTACTTTGGGCTGCTTCTATAAACTTAACTACCAATCCCATGTATCTTCATGAGAGGAAGACTGAGAGTACTAAAGAAGTGTTAAGGAAACATTAAGCAGGAAGACATCCAGCCTGCTTTGTCTTGGACTTGGCCAAGATAATCAAAGAAGCACCTCAGTAACTAGACTTGCTGTTTTACATTGTTTAATTTCTGAAATATAGTCAGCCGGTTATGAGAGTCACAAGTTATGTTATTAAAGCTGAAATGTTAATGAAGTAGACTACTCTAAACAAAAATGAGAAGTAGCTGACAACGGCTTAACATTTGTGAGATTTTAGGCACTGTCTCACTATGTCACAGACCAAACGCCAGACATAGCTGCTATCCCCCAAAACCAAAGAATAGGCCTAAAGCCCAATGTACTATTTTCTTTCATAGTCTTTATAACTTACAGTTACAATTTACTACAATAACAATTACTCATTTAAATCAACACTTCAAAGTGCCTGCCTGGCAGGTGTAAGATCCCGAGGTTCCATCCCTGGTGCCAAAAAAGCAGCCTGGGCATCACCAAACCAACAATCAAAACTTCAAATTAACTACAAAATACACAGGATTTAGGATTGAAAAAGAAGACTTTAATTTAAAGATAACCTATGGTTTTACAAAAACAAAACTGAGTCTCAATAATTAAAACTAAGTTTTAGTTTAAAATATCCTCACAGGGCTGGAGAGATGGCTCAGTGGTCTAAAGCACCTACTTGAATCAAGCTTGGCGAAGCACAGGGCCCACGGTTCGATCCCCAGCACCACATGCCAGCCAGCCCCGCCCCCTGGTGGGCTGAGCTGGCCACACACACACACAATAAATAAATGTAATAAATAAAAAT